TTCAACAAATCTTTACAAAAGTATTTTCCATTCTGATAAAAGCAACTACAAATACATAAGCTTAATAGTAAATATTAATTTTCAAACTCATAACATTACTCTCAAATTTTAACTTATCTTTGATATGAAAATATGTTGGCTTCCAATACATGGAATTTTTCAATTTTTTTTAATTTTAAATGCTTAATTTTTCTGCAAAATTATTGCACTAATTCAGAAATTAAGAACACTGATAAGTACTATAAGTTATAGTTTAGAATCAGAACTTAAAGCACTCAATGACTCCTCCTTCTTTGGATGTAATGTAATGTTGAATTTCACTTAAAATTATACCTTGCAGAAATGTCAAAATAGTCCATCACTGGAGCAAAAGTTTTTATTTTAATATTTCAAAGAAATATCTTAACCAACAATCTTATAAATTTAAGGACACAGATTTTTTTATATAAACCTTTATAGCATGTTTGAAATGGGAAAAATAAATCAATACTGTCTTCCCTTTATGTTTGGAGGCTATAAGTGTTTTTTTGATCTGAGTCAAACAGATGCTATCAGCAATAATCACTGTCACGTTCAAACTACTATATGATTAAGATCATCAACAAACAGCATAAGCAGGATTGTGTGGGGAGCAGTTTCCACCCTTTATTTCCCTATGGGATACAGTATACACATGACATTCACAATAATTAAGTCAGAATTTTTTTTTCTCCCCATGCCAAGACCAATACAATGTTTTGCAAAAAAAAAAAAAAGAAATTATTCTTGGTGCACATAACAACAACCTGCATTTATGTTCTTGATATAGACAATAATTTTACAAATTTGGTAAATGCACTGCTACGATTAATCTTACATTTACAAATAAACATTCAAAAATTAATTCATTTAGGCTGGTAGATGGTGCTTACAGAAAATCACTGAATTACCTGCATTAAATATTACATTTTTAATAGGAACTGGTGCAGTAGGAAATTATATTACCATAAGAAAATTTAAAGTGCTACAAATACACCTTGCTTTAGCTCAAATAAAATGAAAACAAAAATTCTTCTGACTTAAGTGCATTTTATTTTGAACATTAAGAATTATGCTCTGTAATGCTCAAATTGTTTCAGTAGTTAGAGCACTTAAACCTCAAATGAAAGTCTCACATTCAAAAATCAATACAGATTTTTTGGTACTTTTTTTATTGATAAGTGATCATGTTTAAATCAAATTATTTCAATATTTGGAAAAACACAATTACTACGATATTGTTACATCTCTGGTCATTAGTTAACTTCCTGTATAATTCCTTTCCGATGAAACTTTAGCGACACGAGTCCTTTCTGAAATAAAACAGGTTTATTCTTTCTGAATACAACTTTGCAATACACTTAATTTCCATAGTCGCGCTATAACAAACGCTATAATTCACAACGAACGTCTCACGTGCTCGTTCAACAATACGTCTCTCTTTGTCCGCGGTTCGATTACCCATTGTTGCCGTCACGTCTTGACCGTCTTATATGTACAAGAATACCAAAATCTAGTAAACGCTCGAGCATTCACGAACCTTCGAGAATATGAAGTGTTACTAGCGTTACATGACCCCCGCTGTCGTAACACTGCCCCTTCCTTAGTATTGTTCGTCCCAAACAATAGCCACTTACATTAAACCAATATATAATTAACAATAACTTAATTAAATGTACAGAATTTACAAACACAAAATTAAAATTAAACAAAGTCTCTTAATTTTACGGGACGTATCTTCTTCCGTACTGGTCTCCGTCTCATTGGCTTCTTCATCACATGGGGT